GATAAACAAATCTCAGTTATACATTTCTAATATTTGATGGTTCGGTTTCCACAACATAAAAAAAATTGAGAGTTACCTACTCAAATGCTAAATTGATGATAGCCAGCGTACCGAAGACTTTGACGAATTGAAGACATCTTAATAGATGTAAACCATGATGTCGGTTGAATAATTTCATTTTTTCTGTTCACCTGTTTAATTTTTGCCTGATGATGACCAATCAAGATCGAAACTAAATACAAATTTGTTATTAAAATTACGTGGTACCGATTTAATGTTTTAATTGTATATTTTTCTAAATACATTGACCACATCTGAGAACAGTGGCGGAAAATGTAACACAAAAAAATTCGACCTTTTTTATTTTCTGTACATATGGTCGATTATTCTATCCGTTAAACTTGCAAAAATATCTATTATATCATCAAAAATAACTCATTTAAGAGTGTCTTTTCAATTGAAATTTTTGCTAAATTGGTAAGTCGATCTTCTGTTATTGTATTTCGTAGCTATGTTTTAATTTGTTTTAAACAAGAAAAACACGTTCGACTGAAACACTAGTGGATGGAATAGTTAAGATTAAGCAATATAACTTATAAGCTTCTTTGAAAATATCACGATTCTCAAATAGTTTTTCAACCAATTTATCGATGTCACTATTTATACAGTTTTCATCACTGTAAATAAACTGTAACTCATTTTTTAACCTTTGTAGGTAAGTCATTTAATATACTAGGATACATATAAACTAAATTATTTAGTGCTTCTGTAGGAAAGCTCTCCGAATATACAGAAAATTTGGAAGTTTCCATTAATTTTACAAATTGAAGATTACCAGTATCCTGAAAGCGAGTGTTGATTTGTTCTAAAATTGTTTCCAGAATTTCATAATACAGAATTTTATATTTTTCAACTACTTGATCTCTTGTCAAAACTTATCTTATGCGCCCATCACGGTGCTTAGTGGGCAGTTCTGTTCTTAGGGAATCTCAATCAATTATATTTGCAAAAAATAACTTTTAGCGTTTAGTTGATTAAGCGCATTTTTAATTTGAGATACAAAGTAATTTAAATATAAAAAACGTTTCTGCAATACTTCAAAAAGTACATCGCTGATGGAAAAAATTTCGTTAAAAATGATAACTAGAAGAACAAATTCAGTCATTAACATATTTAAGTGCCCTAGCTCTGTCTTATTGAAGCCTGATCAGAATTTGGGTCGTTTAAAATGTCATTAGAAACTTGTTTTAGAGAATTTCAATTATTATGAACGATTTTTAATAATTGAAGGTCTTATTAAAATAACATGATAAGCCACAACATTAATATATTGAGGAAACTCATCTTTAAAGGTTAAAATAAACTTCCAAAACTACTGCAACTTTGTTAAAATGCAATAACTTAACTTTTCGGCTAATGATGCAATTTATTGGAGAATTTCCATTTGGTTTATGGCTTTTGTAACCTAATTTTTATTGTCGTGGAGTAAAAATGCATTTGTTTTTAAAAATGTGCCATCACGTTTTTACAATAAGCCCTTCAATTACTACACTATACTTTTTTATGTTCACTGAATAATTTTCTCAACTAAAAAAAAAACACTTTCAATAACAAACCACTTAATGTAAGCCTCTCGTTTATTGAATATAATTATTTTCTATTTTATTTTAATTTATGTTAGCTAATATTTAATTTTTGGTTTATTAATAGTATATTTTGATATTGTACCAGTTATTTATTTTGTAAACTGAGATAAAGAATACATAGTTAGGAAAAATATATTTATTAAATGCCAGCAAGTTATAAAACGGGACAATTACGTCTAAAGCGGGACGTCTGGCAACCCTATTCAGATCTTAGGATAACAATAGTAAAAATAAGAATTGGATAATTAAATGCGAAACAAGCACATTTAAAAAAATAAATCAATACATAATATGAATAAATAAAAGTAAGAAATAAATAAAATAAAAGAAACAAAAACAAAGGAAAACAAAACAGAGATATAAAAAATTGAATTCTCCAACAATATATTTATAATAAATTTTTACACAATGTTGTAACTCTTTTTAAATTGTTAAAAAGATGTAAACTTCATATATCATATAAGACAATGTCGAAAATTATAAGATCCAAATTCAGTTTTAAAACTTTGAAATTGTACAAATTTTTGCATGGAGAAGAAACATTTTAATTGCACGACCATTTCAGCATTTTCAGTCTCTATAAAATTCTTGTTACCCAACAACAATACCATCAATGTTACTTGTGCAACAACACAAAACATGTTGGTGGCTTTGAATCATGTTAAAAGGATTCTATTCTCGAATATTATGCAAGAATAGAGTCAGTATTAGGTGGAGACGAAAACGGGTTCTCCATATAAAGAGATGATTTCATTGTGTTACTTTGTTTATAGGAACTGTGGAGAAAAATATATAAGTTGGCAATGGACTTTTTTCAAATAGATAATTATTTATGCGAAGATTATTTTAAATTATGATGCTGTTTTAATTTACGGACATCTACCATATAATATCTACAAAATAGATAAATATTAAGAAATACCAGGTATGTCTAGAACGTATGATGCCTGCAAGAAAAGTTAACTTTCATCAAGAGTAGTAATACCCCTATTTTAAATTACTTTCTCCTTGGAAGAAGTAACAATAATATATCCAACAAGTGCAAAAAATAACCATTTTAAAATTTGATGTACCTCAAGGGACTCTTCTTAGTCCAGAGCTTTTCTACTTTATATTAATTATCTATTGACTAATGTTTGAAAAAGACGCATCATTTGCAGACAATACAGTTATAATGTACGAAGCTGAAACTGAGGACCCTTTAAAAGAACTCATAGATGATATAAAACATGTTAAGAAATGGTTTGATGAGATGAAATTTACAATAGATATTACTAATCACAATCACTAAGCAACCCGATTTTCATGTTTTAAATATATGGAATAAAAATTCTCCAAATACAGAAAACCTTATTTAAGCATTGAAATACACACATTCTTAACATATAAAAAAAACAGCCAAAAATAGGCATATATAGTGCTTTAGTCGGGAGTCACATTTTAAAAGGAAATATTAGGAAGGGACCGTGCTTTTTAAATAAAATTCCAGGAATTTTAAAAGACATCAAAAATTATTATCGATTTATAACAGAAATAAAGAACGGGCTTGCGATCAATTTTAGAGTATTTATTCGTAATTTAATAGATTTTGATTAAAAAAATATACCGGGTGCGCCACGCTCAATGGGACGGAGCCTGGTGGGTAAACTACAAACGATACTAAAAATTCCTTTGGCACAAATATACAACTCAAGGGCAGCTACAAATTGAAATTAGTTTCATATATACATGGTGTCCCAAACCAGAATACCAATATAAAGTAATATATTTTAAATGGAACCCGTATATTTTCTTTTAATTTTAAGTTCAACTTTTAAAGATAATCTTAGTTTAATAAAGAATTCCTACCTATCCTATCTTTGATCATTTCCGATTTTTTTGACATTTTTTTGAAAATGTAGTGCTGTCGAAATTAAACTCTTGATTACAAAATAATTAATTATCCAATTTTTGACAGTTTCTTACAAAATGTTATAAATTTTCATCAAAATCATTAAAATATTCAAAAAATGTAGGGGTTGTTTTCAATTTGAAGTTTTATTACAGTAAAATGTTTTATTTAATTACTGCGTTAATTTAAATGGATCACCCTGTATTTTATAGTACCAATATGAAGGAAATTTATTAACTTTAAAAGTTCTATAAGGTCAGTTTTGTCGATCTACAGTTCGAAATTCATGTTTATCTTCAGTGCTGCAATAATGAAAATTATGTCTCTTTACTTTATTATGGAAATTAGATTTATCAGTACATAGTATTTGACTAAAAAATTGATCATCTTCTGTTTTTTCCAAAAATGATTTTTAAGAATGCCTCTGTAAACCTGGAAAATCCAATGTTGGTCATCATATTAAATTTAATAACCATAACTTCTATCCCACGTCAAATAGCAAACTATACACAGTGTTGCAGTCTAAAACTTGGACTTACTTTATTTAAAACTCTTTGGAGTGATTTGGTGTACTGGTCGTCAAAAAAATATTCTTCAAGTTTAAAATGTTATTCAAGAGGTCAGAATGTTTTAAATAATATAGATAATATTATCATTATTATCATAGTTATTTTTTTGCAATCCATCATATTCATTTGATTGAATTTTACAGCTAAGAATTTCATAAAAATAACTCATTATATTTGATTTAAAAGATTTCTTCCTCTTTTGTTCGATTAAAAGATTACCATATCCTTTGACCGTGATACTAGATTATGTTTGTAGTGTATAAGGTTAAATTGTAAATAGATACATATTTTTTGTATTAGACAAAGAATATCAAATTTATGTTTTTTTTTTATTTCAGGTAGGTAGATATATTAAAATTGTTAAACTATATGAGGAAAAAATTAACCAAACATTAGATTTATCGTTATTGTAAAAAATGTAAAGAAACATAATGCAAAACCTAGGCTTTATTTAATATATATAAATATTTGGCAGATGATTTAACAAAAACGTATTCAGAACGTTATTTTACCAACTAATAACAAATAGAAATCATTAATTTAATTATACGCCACATTACTGTCCGCTGATCTATTTTATAATACGTATAATTTATAACTTCTTCCGTTTAATTTATCACAGTTATACTCGATGAATATCGTAATAAAATTATGTAAAGCACATTAACAATAAAAGTCACTGAACTTTCTTATTATAGATAATTAAGTAATAAGATCAGATAACTAACTGGTACAAATTCTTTTTTATTAGAATATATTTTTTCGTAACAAAATAGAACAAAATAGATTGTAAAATAAATCGTCTGTGGTGTCAAAAGTATTTTTACACAACCTCCATATATGTAATGGCTTACTTTACTATTTGAAAAGAGGAAGTAAAATGTAACCTTTACATTGATAGTGGAATTAAAAAGTTCCATTCCAGCTCACCTGTTCATGTATTAGTATTAATTATAATAGTAAACTTTAAGTATTACTTATACTGACCTTGTTTTCTTTATTTCAGTCCACCAGTCCAACAATGCTAGTCACCACCCCTAAACCATTCTAGTCCAATCCTCACTCTAAGTCCTTCAACCTTCTCTTAACCTCATTCCTCTCAGAATGTCAGAATCCACCCCCATCTGCAGATGCAGGGTCCTCTACTTGGGATCCAGCGTACCTCAGCAGACCAAAGACGGCCTCCAAGGCATTCAAGAGCCTTTACAGGAGCTCTATCCCGATCAAGGAGCCACTGGAGCAAAAGGAATTGACTCATGGTTGAGCGTTTGGTCTAACGGTATCCTTCTGGAAAACGTTGATGAGAATCATAAGAAAATAACTAGGTTTTTTCCAATTGAGAGTCTGCACTACTGTGCAGCTGTAAGGTGAGTTTAATAAGGATTATTAAATAAATAAGGATTGTTAAATCAGTAGCTATAACAATGCATCAGAGAAATTAGAAATACAAAATATCAAAAGAGTATTAAGAATTGATTATCTATATATAAATAATTTTTGTTTAGTAGGTATTGCATTTTAACAAAGTTGTTGTAGTTTTAGAAATTTATTTGAACCTTTGAATAGGGTTATCTTAATAAATTTTGAGGCTTATCACGTTTTTTCAATGAGCCCTTCAATTATTAAATAATACAGTTTAAGTCTATTCATTGTGAGATGATTGGGAGCCAATCTAGAAACAGTATTTCACCTCATTCTTATGATTTCGTACAAAAATTATATTAGCACCGATTTTTTGAGTTTACTTGACGAAATTATAGATAATTAAGGACGAAGAAAGTATAAATGATAATCCAAAAGAAATTAATAAAGTAGGAGACGATGCAAAATTGGTTTATCGTCGAGTCGAATATAAATGAATATTGCATTATCGTCTGTCGGGCGAGTGCTAAATTGCCACTTTACGCCCATTCGTACATAAATAATTATTTTTAATGTCAATATTACTTATTTATTTATATTTTTATTTATTGTATTTAATTTCACAGACCTTTCGACCTAATTACAGATGTCTTTTCATAAGACTACACACTAAATTTTAATTTTAAAAAAGTTAATTTCTTTGACCTAGGTACAAAACAAACGGAATATTCTGTAGAATATATTGCTGGATAATATATACGCATATAATGTGACAGAATTAATTTATGTGTGTCAAAAACAGTAGGGTGCAAGATATTTTGCACATAAATACTATATGAAAGAATAGGAAAATACAATGATTTTCTTGACAATTTAAATAATAGGAACATATTCGCCAGTTTAATAAAAACTAAAAATAAATAATGAAATAAAATAGACCTAAAACCATAAAAAAGGAACATCTGCAAGTCTGACAGAAATAAAAAATAAATTAGGAGATCAAAATCTCATTTTTAATACATTTATAATAGATATGATTTACAACGTTTCTGTATAAAATCTTACCCCGACCGTCTCCTAGGGAAAGACGGAGGGAATGGTATATTCAAAAAAAATCTATTAAAACTTTAAATGAAACACTTATACACCCAACATTTTAATTTTTTTTTGAGAAAAGAAACAAAAAATCTTTGAACTGAAAAATTTCAACTGTTTCATTTGAAAAGTTCTAACTATTTTTTTTGGATATTCTACCCCCTCTATCTCCCTCTAGGAGATAATAGGAATATCATTTTTGTACAAAAATGTTGTAAGTAAGGTCTACTTTAAATGTGACCAAAATGAGTTTCTTATCTTTTCTGTAGCTCCACATCCAAATAATGACAGTTTAGGTCGAACATTTTTGGAAAAATAAAAAAAAAATTAAATTTTAGGTTTGTATGTAGAAGAAATCCTACATTTTAGTTCTTTTATTGAAAAAATATACCTTTATTATTTTAAGGATGACACCCCTTTCATATGAGTTAGGGGATAATGGGCGAGTTTTTGTTTATGCGATTATCATACTAATTTGGTTAATACACGACACAAACTGCTCTAGCCCCAAGAGTCAAACCCCAACCATTTGGTTTTTACCAACAAAATGTTTGAGGTTTAATGAAAAAGACAGGTGTTCTAGTATACACCTCCTGTCCCAACATGAACTACCCTGTGGTACCTATTGGGACAAGGCGTGATACACTATGGGATAGCAATTTAATTCATTTCAAAACGTTATATATTTTAATCTAAACTGCAAATATTTTATAAACCTAATTACAAACGAAAGATGAAATACTTTTACGAAAGTAATAGAAACATTCTCAGCAACTCTATCAAAAAACTTCAAAATACCTAATTATTATATTTAGCAAAATTAACTTTGTTTTCCGCCATGGTAGTTTGGTTTTGGTAACTTAAAAGCTACGTTTTCTCTTTCTAATATATCTTCATCTTTTGTTTCGGGAAAAGAAAACTTCTACGACCACTATCCAAAGTAGGCTTTTGCGCTTCGAAATCCAACCGCAAAGTTGACGTTTTCCGCAAACTGTCATTAAGTGACAACTTTGTTGCTCGTCTAATTTAAATTAGCTATTATATAATAATATTTATTTTTAATAAATGATTTTCAAGTTATTTGTACGTAGTTACATGTTTTTTTGTTATATTATCCAAGTTAACATGGCTTTTGAATATAAACTTCTTTTTTCATGATTAACGTAGCTATAGGCAACACATTATACACTATTTATGTCAAATTTTTAGTTTTTATAACTATTTCTTAAGAAAAGTGTGATCGTAGAAAAAATCTTGTGTGTATTTTGAGCGAAAAGTTTGTTGCCGTTTTCAACAGATTGCTGCGCTCCGCTACGCGTAGGGTTGCCACATTTTCGGGAGTGAAAAGCGTGGCAACCGTGACGATAGAGCATTTTCATATAATCAGGTCCAAATTTTGTGACCATTGCTAAAAAAAAGGTCCTCGACTTATTTTTCGTAAAACGAGTAGGTAGAGCATTTTTATATAATCAGGTGTTCACTTCTAAAAAAAAGGTCCTCGCTTATTTATATAATTTTTATATATAATCAAGTCCATTTTTTTGTGACCATTTGTAAAAAAAAGAAGCCTCAACTTATTTTTCGTACAAACGAGGGTCTTTTACCCGGTCTATTTTTGTATAAATCCGATTCCTCTGCGGCCTTTGCAAAGCGTGGAATATGCATAAAAAGCGTGCAGGCAAGTCAAAAAGCGTGGCTGCCACGCCAAAAGCGTGACGTCTGGCAACCCTAGCTACGCGTCACGCAGGCAACTTTCTGTCTCAAGTCACAAAGTATCACTTTTCGCTCTTAATACATAAGTAACTATTTTCACTCATGTAATTGTTTCGTATATTCAACAGTTTACTCATATAAATAAAAATAATTTATTTTAACGTTTAAATATAAAAGAACTCATTTAAAAAAAAGAGGACACAAATTGCAAAATTTTATAGGAAAATCCTATTTCAAATAGTTGACTCCCTGTTAAAATATTGGAAAACCATTACGGAACACCTTGTACATAAGGCCTTATGCAGAAAAATGTTTCTAAAGTGATAACTAAGAGCTGCTCTGGATTAAATCCAATCTGTCATTTAAGGAAGAAGAATTGTACGCTCCGACATATGTGATTTTTTCCATGGACTACTTTAGAAATATATTTTATGTAGATAAAAACAAAAATAATATTAGTAAAAAATTTAAATAATTCATTTTTGAAGTATAACTAGAAATTTTTCACCTTAACCTTATAGACAACGTAAAAGTGGCCTACAAAGAATATATTGAAAATTTAACATAAAACTGAAGAACGTATCTGTTTGAAAAAAAAAACATGAAATACGTGAGTTACAAAAAGAAGATAAAATTGCTGCCCAGTGTGCAATGTACAATCGTTGTATAAACGACCTTCTAAAGATTCCAAGCATTGTAACACTTTTCTTCGCTTCTGAAATAACATAAGAAAGAAAACCAGCTTGTTTCCAACTATGCCATTTTTATAATTCGAGAAAGATATTCGAGTACCAATTTATGGTTGTCATTGATACAGGTATATGCAAATTAACATTCTTTTAGTTCGGATTGTTAGGAAACTGGTATGTCTTTATTTATATTCGATGTAAATAAATAACTGGAAATAATAGTGATAGGTATTAAATCATTGAAGGGATTCATTCTTAATACAAATCAAAATACGACAATTTGGTTTATCAAAAAGTTGAAATGAGTGACTTCTTAATTTGACAATTTTGTGAGTTGGGTCACATGTCAGTTGCCATTAAAAAAGTTGTCAACGACCTAATTAACAATTTAACTAAAGATAAATTTAATATCAATTGGTTGAAAAACATTTATTTTTTATTAATTTAATTTATTAATTAAAGGGTTTCTCAACTTTTTTAATAAAAAATTTAAATGACCCTTTTGTCAATTGTTTTACTTGTCAATTGTGTCATAGTTGCCGTTAAACAAAGTTTGTAAATAATCCGATTAACAATTTTACTAAAGTTGAATTTAATTTCAATTAAAAAAAATATATTTTAATTTTTTTCACCTTTTACCCCAACTGTCATATTTCCGAAAAATCTAATCAGGGGCGTTTCGTGCAGAGGGTACAAGCTGTCTGTAAGGCACCGGAGTGCCAATAAATTAGAGGCGAAAAACGTATAAAACAACGTACTATGGAGATGTTTTGATAACGTAAAAATTAGGTACCTAATATACCTAAATTTTATTTCTCATATTCCTACAAAAAAAGCTAAAATAAAAGTCTCAATTGTTGATACAGAAAAATTACTTAGAAACCACAGCAATAACAATAAACTTTATACTTTTGATTGTTTTGTCATTTTTTATAAATTTGAAATTAGTAGATATTATTTGGCGTACAGTGTTTCAATGTTGCCAAGTTCAAATGGTGACAATGACGATTCTAAATTAGAGAATACCGATGTCATTAATAATATGCATTAAAATGAAGAAAATGTTTAAAAATAGAAAACGTTATAATCTTGAATTTATTTATTTATTTAATATTAATCAGTAATTTAAGATACAAATAGAAAAACTTCCCAATAAAGTATCCTCACATTATGTAATAAACTTTTTAACGTAACCAGCTTATAATTAAGAAAGTTTCTTAGTTCCCTTTTGAAGAAAGCCAACGAAATACTACAAATATAATTATCACTACATTTATTAAATTTTTATTTAATCCACTTATACTAAAAAAGCAAGAAAAGGGTTAGGAGTAGAGTAGATGCCCTATTACCACCCCGTAGTGGTAAAAGAGTTTTTACCTACATGGGCATTAATTTTTAACGGATAATTACTGCTTATTACGCGTATTGTTTAAATATAAAAATAGTAAGCCCTTTACTTTTTCATAACATTTTCAGTCGTTGAGAGAACAATATTTTTTTGTGTCTGA